GGGTTTTTGAATGTCAAATTTTAAAATTACCTGGATTTTATTTTATTTTTTAAGTATAAAGTATAGATTCAGTTTTATGTTGTTTTCCATGTGGGTGAAACAGTTACCCCAGCACATTTTTTTTAATATTTATTTTTTAGTTGTAGTTGGGCACAAAACTTTATTCATTTTTATGTGGTGGTGAGGATTGAACCTAGGGCCTTGAACTTGCTAGGCAGGCACTCTACCGCTCAGCCACAACCCCAGCCCACCCCAGCACATTTTTGCAAGTCTGTTCCTAGCCAGGCATGGTGGTGCACCTATATTCCCGGTACTCAGGAGGCTAAGCTGGGAGGAACACTTGAGCCCAGGAATTCAAGACTGTGGGCAACTTTGCAAGACCTCATCTCAAATAAAATAAAATAAATGAATAAAAATAAAGAGTCTCCTGTCCTGTGATTCATCATTGTCAGTCCCTTATGCATCCATCTGTGCCTCTCTGTGGACTCTTCTTAGTGCTCTGTATTTCCACATCAGTGTCTTACTGTGGTTTTGCAACTGAATGTCTCACAGGGTGAGTACTTCCTCTTCTTCATTTTTATGGTCATCTTTGTGTTATCTGTATACCTTTGTTCATATAAATTTTAGAATCAATTGGTTTTCAGAAAATTTGAGTTGCAATTTTTTAATCACATGCATTTCTTTACTTATCTAGTCATTCAGTAAATATTTTTTTGAGTATGGTATGTACATCCTAGGATGGCATAAGAACTCTAGAGCTATTATAAGAACTGTGAATATGAAGCAAGAAGCTCAAAATACAGTCCTCATCTTTGTGGAATTTAGAGTCAAGGAAGACAGCAGTGAGTGCTATGAAGAAAAATAAGAAAGCTGGGGAATGGGGCCTGGAGGGAGATTGAATCTTTGCTCAGGATGAACAGGAAGAACTGAGGTGGTACCAGCATATAGAGGCAGGGGAGTGAGCTCTAATGATCTCTGGAAGAACCTTCCCACAGACAGCACAAAGGCCCCAGGAGGAACCATGCTTGGGAGGTTTGACTGGAAAAAGGAATGGGATGGGAGTGGAACCTTGTGTGGGCTTCCCAACTAGGGGCCTGTGCTAAGGTCTTGGGCTCTTACCCAAGCAGGTTGGGAAGGCTGGGGAAGTTTTGAGCAGAGTGACAGGATCAAATTTATTCAGTAGCCTTACCCTGGTTGCTGTGTGGACAACAGACTGTAGGGGCGCTATAGGAACATAATGCTGGAGGCAGCCAAAGCAGGCAGCTGTGCCACTTGAAAAAACTGCCAGGGACATTAGCAGGTCAGAGAGTTCCCAGTGATAGACAAGGAACCTGGACACTGGGTTCCTAGATTAACTTGGAGAAGAACTGTCCTCTTCCCATCTGTGAACGTCATAGACCATTTTTTCTGGGTCTTTTACCCAATAAGGTTTTGTCATTTTGTTTGTAATGTTTTGCCTGCATTTTTTTTTCCTTAGAGCAGTTTTAGGTTTATGGCAAGATTGGGAGGAAGTACAGAGATTTCCTGTATATCCCCTGCCTCACCCTTGTGCAGCTTCCCCAACATCCACATGCCTTACCAGAGTGGTACCATTTGACAATAACAAGTCATTGATATATGATGGTTACCTAAAAGTTCAGTTTACATTAGGGTTCACTTGGTGTACATTCTGTGGGTTTGGACAAATGTGTGACATGTATCCACCATTATAGTGTCATACAGAACATTTTCAGTGCCCTAAACATTCTCTGTGCTCTGTGTATTCACCCTCTCTTGTCTTCCCTGGCTGTTGGGTTTAGTCCTAGGCCTGGCAAAGGGAAGGGACACTCCCTCAACTTCAATTTCCTACACAGCTTCCTCTTTAATGCTTTTTAACTGAACTATTTTCCCATTAAAAGCCTGCTTCACCCGGCATCTTTATTTTTCCTATTGTGTTAGCTTCCCATTATTGTAACAAAACACCTGAGATAAACAGCTTATAAGGAGGAAAAGTTTATTTTGGCTTACAGTTTTAGAGGTTTTGGTCCACAGTTGGTTGGCTTTGTTGTTTTGGGGCCAGTGGTGAGGCAACATATGGTGGTGGTAGTGCATGGTGGAGGAAATTGGTCATCTTGTGGTGGCCAGGAAGCACAGGAAGAGTGTGAGCAAGAAAGAGAAGGAGCAGCTAGGCTCCCAATATTCCCTTCAAGGAATTCCACAGTGAACTACCTTCCTTCTGTTAGGGCCCTCCTCCTAAATGATATATTACTTCCCAATATCACCACAAGCTGTGGACTTAGCCTTCAATACATGCATCCTTGGGGAACATCCCATATTCAAACAACTATAGCAACTATCTAAAATTTCTTACAGTGTCATACCAAGCACATTATAGGCTTTCATTAGGGGAAGCACAGAAGGTAAAATACTCTAAGTGAGGATACAGCAGGGTCTTTAATCAGGCTCTTCTCATGGCTGACTTGGGCAGGAGATGCAATGTTTGGGTATATAATTTAGAATAAATGTTTTTATATTGTGTATACTAGCATGTATATGTATTTTTGCATTTATGCATAGTTGGATTTGTAAGTTAAATGTTTCTATTATGTATCTCCATTATGTTAAGGAAAAAAATCACAATTTTATCCAAACAGGTCTTCTAGATGAATACACTCAGGTGTAATCATCAGCTCCATAAGGGAAGATGGCACTCACCAGCCTGGAAATTGAATGGGACTTGTTTTAGTCATCTTTCTGTTATTGTAAGAAAATACCTAAGATAATGAACTTATAAAGAAAAAGAAGTTTGTTTTGGCCCACAATTTTAGAAGTTTCAGTTCATGGTTGGCCTCATTGTTTTGGACCTATGTTGAGGTGACACATCATGGCAGAAACTTGTGGAGGAAGAAAGCCCTCACCTCATAGCCAAGAAGCAAAAGAGAGAAGAGGGCAGGCTCCACAATCTCCTTTGAGGGCATGCCCTCAATGGAGGATGTATTCCCAAGGGTCTAAAACCTCCTTGTAGGCCCTGCCTCTTAACGGTCCCACCACCTTTCAATAGTACCACCCTGGGGTCCAGGCCTTAACACATGAGCCTTCGGGTGACATTTCAGAGCCAAATTATAACGGGGTTCTATAATTATTACTCCTTAACTATTCCCCCATCTTTATGTGGGTGCCTGTAAGTATAACTTTTGAGTTACTCTTTAGCACCAGACCCATATACAATTTTATATATGTGGGAATAAATATCAAATCAGAAAAATTGACTTATCAGTTTCTATATTTTCTTTGTGTTTTATTTGTTTCATGATCCTGGAAGTTTTGAAGAATACATGCAAGATATTTTGTTGTCTCTGTTGGAATTTGTCTGGTGTTTTCCCCAGAATTAGACTGTAAATGTGAGTTTTGGGAAGAAAGATCATTTTCATTTTATCATATCAGTGGCCCACTATGAACACAACTTGTTTCATTTGATTGTTGGTGTTGGCCTCAGTTATGTGGGTAAGGTAATATCTGCCAGATTCCCCTGAAGCAGGATTGCTTATTTTTTTCCATCTTTTTCAACAACATTCCTTGGAAGGAAGTAGATGTGTGCACTCAAGGAGTGAGGACTTAGAGAATGGAAATGCTTAAGTCTAGAGGAGCCTGAGGACACAGGACAACTGAAATTACCCAGAATTCTGTGAAAGGAAGGTTTGCCTCTCATTCTCATGTTGATTTACGTATTCTTTCAGTCATTGGAATCAGCTGGACTTGTGAATGGTGTTTTGTACTGGACTAAAATTCCATAATACTATTGTTGTTGTTGCTCAGATTGTTCCACTTTAGCCATTGGGAACTCTTTCAGTTGGCCTCTACCTCCATCATCTCAGGCTGGTTTTTTGTTTTTAGCACTTCCATACTTCCCATCAGTACAAGACACTCCAGGATCATCTTGCTTTATTTTGTGTCCCAGTCCCTTGAATCAGCTATGGTTCCTTTTATTAGAGAATGACATTAAAACCAAGGTCTGGGTGTCAGGTGTGCTCATTACTCTTTTGAGTGTTATTTCTTTTAAGCCTTCTTCTCAGCTGACTGAGCAAGAAAATATGTGTATCTATTAACCTTGTGTTATGGTTTAACTATGAGGTCTCCCTCCAAAACTCATGTAGAGACAATGAGAGGGCGTTCAGAGGTAAATCAATTGGGTTGTGAGAGCCTAAACCTAATCAGAACATTAACCCACTAATAGGAATTAACTGAGAGGTACCTTTAGGCAGTCAGGATGTGAGGTGCGTCCCTGGAGATATGACTTTGGGCTATATATTTTGTCCCTGGTGAGTGGAGCTCACTGTCTGCTTCCTTTCTGCCGTGTCCTGAGCTGCTTTCCTCCTCTGCACACTTCTGCTGTGATGTTCTGCTTCACCTTTTGATTCAAGAGCAATGGAGTTGGCCATCTATGGACTGAGACTTACAAAACTGGGAGCCCCAAATAAACTTTTCTTCCTCTAAAATTGTTCTTGTCAGGTCTTTTGGTCACAGGGATGAAAAGGCGCACTAAAACACCATGTACAGATACAGATCTGTAAGTATTTGTGTATGTAGCCAGCCCTATCAACTAACTAGGTCCTCTTGTTTGATGTGCATTGTAAATCAGCTTGTCCATTTAATAGCCTGCCTGTGGAGACTCTGACCTAGCAATGTTGAATCTTCCAAATCAGGAAGATCATGGATCTCCCCAAGTATTGATGACTTTAATTTCTCTCCATGATGCTTCAGAATAAGTATTTTGTTAAATCTACCAATAATTATTTTATGTTTTTGTTTGTGCTTGAGTATGTGACCTTGTTATGGATGGAATCCTCACATTAAACTTTTACTTTCCAATTGCTCATGCTGCTTTTTAACAACCTATTTACTTACGTACTTATTTTGGTGCTGGGATCTGAACCGGAGCCTAACACATGCTAAGCACACACTGCCATTGAGCTACACCTGCCTATTTTTCATGTGTAGTGAATTTTCTCACATTGCATATTCTTTTTAGTTTTATTTTAGTTCTGAGGGTTGCTTTGTAGACTCCTTAGGGTGTTATACACTGACAGGGTGTCATCTGAAAACAGAGAGATTTTAATATTTGTATTCCATTTGTTCCTTGCCTTTGCATTGCCTAGGACCTGCAAAACAGTTACATAGGAGCAGTGAA